TAAAATTAAGTTAAATATATTAATATCATCAACTTAACTTAATACTTTTTTTTATCGACATTTGCACACATTGTATACACATTGTATACACAATTCACCGACAGTGAAGCATATCGTAGAGTGTAATAAACTAGTAAAATATTACGCGGAGCGAGTTGTTATTCACATTGCGAGGTAGATACTGATGAAGATGTCGTATCTTACATTTATGATGATACCACAGTAAATTACGCGGTAAACGAGTAAAACCCGGACTACACAGGAAATTTGTGGAAGGTAGACCATGTGTCAGGCACATTCCGCGCCGGCAGAAGACGGTGGATTAATTATTAAAGGTGTTTTGCTGGCGCAACGATCCGGTTTACTTTACCATGTAGCTTGATCAATTACAACGCTCGTCTCCCGTCGACTTTGCGTGTTACTACATTAGTAATAACACTAGTTATTACATTTAATCATAAACATAATTAATCAGCGTAATTTCCGTGGTGATTGCATCGCGATGTTTCTCAAGCATTAAATTATGCAGCAAGTTTGAGATTTCATTTCATTATTTTGATCGATTTGGCCAAATTTCTTTCAGTCAATCAGAAATAAACGTCATTATCAGAAAGTAAAATATTTCTATATTTATATTTTTTAATTTTCACGGGCTTATTTTCTACGTCAATGCAGACGCGATCTACAATTGATGAGGCAAATGGATAAACGAAGTACGTATTGAATATCTGCAGAATCATCACTTAGCAACGGAAGATCTAGCTCGAGTTCTCTCTGATATTAATATATCCTGTGTAAAATGGAAATCTGTGCGCTTTTTACTTCTTTCAACAATGGCGGATGTGACATTAATAGAGCGGCTAGGATTTGAAGAAAATCCTTTTCTCCAAATCCCAGCTCGCTAATGGTATCGCCTCTTCACGGGATTTCGATTTCTGATCGGATTCTGAAATGTTTCTGCTTGCTCGGCTGTCGCCGGCGGCGCGCGAGGATACTCGATAGAAAATGTCCCCGTGCAAAATTTATATTCTATGCACCGAATATGCGTTACTATTGCAAACTGTAAACACGACGGCAAAACGCGGAGGCGATTTCACATCTCTTCGAGGTGCGCTGTCTCGTTTTTCCACGACATGTTTGACAATCTTGATAGAAGAATATCTCTCGAAAAGAGGGATCGATTTCGTTTATATTTCATACAGTTTATTTAATCGTTGAGCACTATGCAATAAATGTGCATGCATTAAATACTGCGCGTCACGTGTTTTACAAATAACTTATTAGCGAGAGAGCGATTAAAAACCGTTTCTTCCATTTTATTTAAAATATTTTGCATGGATTTTTAGTCCGCTTGTCCATTTAATAACAGCGTTCAAAATTTGTTATTTGACGATTATTCGAACTCCACATGTTGCCAATGGTTAATATTTATGAACTGAGGTTTATAGTTGTGTAAGAAAAATGCAGTAATTTCTATGTCGTGTATTGATCCATTCTGTAAACATATATACATTTAATATTTTAGAAACGAGTAAAACATTCTCCCTCTTGTTTTTGTATTTTTAAACTTCTTTTCACATATATAAAATTTGAATGTTATACATATACAAGAAATTTCTTGCATGAATAAAATATGTGCATTCTTCATTTTTGTGTGTAACATAAAATTATAATCAAAATAATAAATTTAAATAAAAAATTATATTACAAATAAATTCATATATTAACTATTGCAGTATGTATGTAGATTACGTACAAAAATTTCCTGCATGAAATTATATCTGAATATATGTATAATTCTGACAAACTTGGCTCATTAGAGCAAATATTCGTTTATCTGCCGCAATTATTTTAAAAAGATTACTTATGGCGCTCCAATACATCCGAACGTGGTCTCATTTATTGCTTCCCGTTTTACACATTAAAACGATTTAATCTTTTTGGTATTAAATATCAAATATCGACCATCGGGAAGATTAGTAGCTCACATCAACGTCATAAAACTCAATAAGATCGCGCAAGGGGCCATAAAAAGCTTATTCCCGAATAGACACTACCGGACGTAAGTAATTGGCCAGTCGGCCAAACCGGATTTATCGGTCGCTCGACAAGACTTCTTCCAGTCCAACGCCGTTTTTCCTCGCGTGCCATTCAGATCCGCCGACTTCCTTATCCCGTCGTCGGAGTCTCAACATATACATCCACACACACACACACACACACACACATACGGAATTTCACCCTCGGGATATTTTTCTCCCTCGTCACGTCCAGCGAGCTGCGCAACACAGCGTCGCGTCTTTGTGCAGTTTTCCTTCCTCACTACGGCGTTTCTCCCTTTCTCCCGTTCTCTGCGTCCCGCGATTTCTTCCCATTCTCTTCTCTTCTCATCTCTTTCCTTTGTGTTGCCTTCTGCTTCTTCGGGTTTGCCAGCGACGGAGCTTTTTTGTCCTTTCCCGCGACTCCTTCCCGTCTCGCAACGTCGCGAGCTGCATCCAGCGGGGGTCTCAAAGGTCTCGCCGACATCCTCAAAATATGCTAACTTCTTCCATTTTCCTGACTCGATCTCTCAGGGACGGATGTACACGCAGACACGTGAGATCTTAGCTGGGAACCTCGAAAAGTAGACAAAACTACAAATTCGAGGCATCGTGCCTCGAATTTTAATTACTTTTAGAATAATGTAATTGTAAAATTGCGACATTAAATAATTGTAATAAGAAATTAACATGTCGCAGTTTTTCGAAAAACTGTTCTTTATTTTAGAGGCACTTTAGATACTTCAAAATCAGATTTAAGCCTGTGGTGCACAAGAAGGAATATTTCAGACTCTGTATTCAGACTCCGTTATCTGTCAGACTCTCTGCATTAGCTACTTTTTTCTTCGCGGCGCTCGCTGTACTTTTTATCAAGTTTTATCTTCTTTCAAGTAGTCTTTAGACCGTCTTTGAACTATCTTTCTGCAGCATATCTGAATTAAATATTTCGCAATAATTTTTTTTCCTCTCTTATTTTTCGTGGACCTCCGAGAACATGCATCATATAGTTAATCCGCCACTGTCTTTTCCTCGTCCTCCGTTCTCACGATGCGCTCTACTCTTCGCGGCTTGAAAGCTGGATATTTACGTCTTACTGCGCCCACGAGCCTGTCCCTCTTTCGAGAGAGAAAACGAAATAAAGAATTTCCGCTCGGTTCCTTCGCAACTCGTCCAGCTCCTTTCCGACGTTCTTGCACGCTCTATGAACCCGCACTTATTACATCAGCGATTTTCACCCCAAACCGCGGTCACCCTTTTGTGGGATTCCTTATTTGCGACGTGCGGGAAAAAAATGATATCGGCGCGGATCTTTTTCGAACATTTATACCTTGTTTATCGTGACGCGAATCGATGAACAGGAAGGGAATTCACGATGGACGTTTTTCTCAGCGATTTCTCGTTATTATAAATGAAACGATGTCAATTGTCTTATCGTCTATCTTGTTGCGAAATAAAATTACGTAAACTGCAGGTTCAATTGCAAATTGATTGCTTTTTACGATTAATCAGGATTATCTAACGCACATTGTTTATGCAATCTAGTCTTGATCGCCATTTAGTGAGAATTAAACTAATGAATAATAAACTAAATTAACTCTTTCTCTTCCTTAATAAATTAAGTTAATCAAGTGGGAATAAAAAACTATAGAAAGCTGTTCTTTTACTTTTATTGATCTTTTCATTAAAAATTTGTTCCATTTTGCAACTATAACTCCCTTGCGAGGGATAAACGTGGAAGCATTAAAAGACAAGAATTTAATTGAGTCTGCTGCTTGTGCACGCTTTATTTATCCCGCAATAATGAGCGAGCGGAAGTGCATCCGCTTGCTTGGTCGAGCTTCATAATTATGCAATACACCAGATACTGAACTTTTTTTCCTTGTGAAGTTTGCAAAGAAAGAACCCTGATTACGACTTCTCACTTCCTCATTGCGAAAAATTTTGCTTTGTCGCACTATGAGTTTTTTAATCGGACGCTTATCGCAAAGTTAATATAAGAACAGCGGTGGCTGTTGTATTTGCAAAAACAATTTGACAGCAAAAAGGCTGATAGAAAAAATTTTAAACAAATATATATATATATATATATATATATAACAAAACTATATTATAAGAAATATATAAGACTCGAAATAATTTTTAAATCATATCTTAATGATGTGGTAATAAAAAATTTTAAAGAGAAAATGCATTAATTGTGCGCAATTTTGTTCTTTGTTTTTTGTTCTTTGTTGTTAATTGTTATATAATTTTATTTTGTTATTATAAAAATTTATCTATTAACGCATACTGAATTATGAAGTCAACGCATAAGTACGTAAGTTCTTGATGGACAGGTTATTACGCAACGATGTAGAAACTCAACAAAGAGGAGTCGATGTCAAACAGAAATCTCCTTCTTCCTCATTCACGCTTTATTTGTTAAAATATAACGGGAGGGAAAAAAGGGCAAGGCCCCGAGATACACCCTACGCGCTCGGTACACTCTATAATTATGTGTACTGGGTGGAATGCCCCGCGATGAACTTTGCTTGTGAACTTTACGAGAACTCGCAATTTCTCGCTTCGATGTTAGCGCGACGACGTCACGGAATTCAACGGAACTTGTAAAAAAAAATACAGCGCTATCGTAAACAGCGACAAGAAGATACATGCGAGAAACATTTGTGATAATTTTCCATCGAGTTTTTATTGCCGACTTTATTTGCGCTAACGCAACGGGGTAGGAAGGAGAAAATGAGGGGTTACGACAAGTCTCTCTCTCTCTTCGCACGCTTTATTTATTCACACACGCCACTGCACTGAATATGCACTTTAACTTGATTTATAATTAGAGAGATAAGAAATATTTTACATTTATTCGCGTTCGTCGAATAATAATGATAAATCTACCATTAATATTATTTGATAAAAAATCGAGGATTTCTACAACTAATTTTTGCCGCATTTATTTTGTTACAGAGGAAGTATTCGGCTCGAACGAGGCACTCTGGTTTTCTCCCAGCGGCAGTAAATTGGTGTTCGGCTATTTCGATGATACGAACACTCCTATTATGACTATACCGTTTTACGGATATCCCGGAAGCTTAAGTTTCCAATACACTTCGGCAATACCTATTCACTATCCTAAAGTAAGTACTTAATCTTTTCTCATTGTTTCATTCTGTTCAGTATGATAAGTGCGATAAGAAAATATTTGTTTGCATTGCTACGTTTTCAATTCTTTCATATTTTTTAAATTACGAAAATAATATAATAGCTTAATAATCTAATTCCGATATAAAATATTAAAACGTTAAGCATTTTAAACGTACATGCTGTTTTGCTGTATAATAAACGTTATATTCTAAAATGTATTTTATATATTTCTTGCGTAATGTTTCATATCTGATACATTTGCGATGCAAATTTTGCATGTTTATTATTCGCTGTTTTAATTAATTATCTCTCTGTGTGAAAAAAATATTGCCTAATAGCGAAAAATAAAATTCTGTGCGGGAAAAAATAGTGGCACTTTAAAAGGCAGCGATTCCCGAGTGTTAGGCGTTCTCAGAAACGTCCGCACTTCCGCATTTCGTTTCCTCGCGAATTTTCGTCTCGCGCCGCCCCATTCGAGATATGAAAAGCCATCTAACAAAAGTTTACATCCTGAAAAGACGAGAGGGGTGTGAACGTGGCACTTCTGCATTTTTCAATGTCTTTTTTTTGTTACTCGCGATTGACATCGCCGCAAGAAGTCATAGCTCGACGTAAAGAAATATCCGCCGCGTCGGTTCAATCTTTGAATGACATCTTTGTCCTCGAGTGATCGATTTCGTAAGAAATTGCTCGAATACAAAAGACACCAGACGAATACCAGACAAGTAAATAAGTGGCAAGAGTAACATTTAATGCTGAGTAGTGATGCTTTTGCTTTTATTTATAAACGTTTTTACTGTGTATATTTAATAACAAAGCTGTGCACTTCTTTTTTTTAAACAAGAACATATCACACATCTAATGTCACTAATAATCGATTCTTTTCAAATCCATTATGTTTAAAGCACAATGGAATGCAACATTTGATACGTAGTTTCATCCGCAGTGCCATTACTATGAAGCAATTCTGCAAGTATATAACTTTCAGACTTGAATAGATGAAAGTTTCAATTTCTTCACCGAGTGATTCATTTCGCTTGATGTGCAAACTGCCATTCTGCCATTTCCCCAGCGGGAAAGACTAATGTATATTTATCTGGATTCCATCTGTTCTGAGATTTTATTGTGCTTTAAAGCACAAGCTGCTTTAAGACTACTTCAGTGGAAATAAACTTTATTCATCTAAATTTGATTAATTTTATTTCGTTTATGATGGCCGCAATAAATGCAACCGCATGAATATTTATTTCAGTCAAAGAGAAAATATAATGCAAAAAAAAAATAAGTTTGCTCTGTAAATATTTACATTTGCATAAAACTCCATTCTTTAAATTATAATGAAATGCAAAAAGCAGAGATTTAAATAATTTTATATGATTTAAAAATACGTCGCTACGTGGCCAAAATAACTCGTTAAATAAATTTGTCATTTGTAGAATGTCACATTAGCGATAAAATCATTAAATATGACCTTTATGTCGCTATTAAATATTTTATCGAAACGTGACATTGTTATAAATTCTTTTTTAATTAATATATGATAAATAACAAAATAATAAATTTACTTAATTTTCTAAAATTGTCTGAAGCAAATATTTGTCGCTTCGACAAATAACAAAATTTTTATGAGAAATAAATTATTGTTATTTATGAGATTGATTATAATTATTATATAGGGTAAATTATTATTATCTACGCAGTAGCGCGAAGCAGAAAAGGATATAAATAAAATTTGTGCAATTCTCGTATTGAATAATAACGTTGACATTTTTATGAAACTCTGTCTTTCAAATTTAGTAATTTATTAAGTTTGTTTTATTACTATAATAAATAATGCTTATCAAATAAAGTTTTTACATTTTCCGGCCATTAGCGTTACCTGCCGCTTTGCAGGAAGTTAAAATAAAAATAGGAAACTTCTTTAATTTACTAAAATGTAGTCACGAATTATTCTTTAGATAATTTGTTAAAAGAATGGAGTTCAAAATATTATTTTCTTTTTTTCTCATTTGCATTATATATTTAAATTGATATTTCGTTTGGTAATAAAGTTGGGAGTAATGAAGCAAGAACACGTGATGTTACATGTTGATTTTGTTACCTCGGTCTCTTGAGACTCGCAGTTCCAAATTGCTACAAATTGCGAAGCGAGAAATAGGAATCTCGGAGTCATTGCGTGATTGCCGAGTGAACGGTAGTCTACGATGAATCATGTAAATTTTGTGAACAATAAAATCTCTTGTTGTTTATTGCAAACAAAATAAAGTAAACTATGTTTATAGCAACCACCTTTATCTAAGTCGTGGACAAACAGCTCAAACGACTTATTCAAGTGGCATCTCGTTACTTCTCAATGAAACGAGAGCCGCTTTATGCCAGTAAACTAATATTAGTAGAATATTGCGAAGTCGAACAAATGAATAAACATTATGAACAGCAATTACAGCGTCGCGTCTTCAGATTAAACAGAATTGTCATTAAAACTTTCAGCATTAAGAGGACAGGATTTCAGGTGCACTTAAAGTAATCAGTTAAGGAACAGTCATGGCCGACAGAATTGAAGATTTATGTTTCCAATTTCATTAAAACATTTTCGTGCAAACAATCTTGTAAATAACAACTTTACGCACTTTGTAAGAAAATACGTCTGTTGCAAATATATACACGAACATCTGCAGGTTTTGTTTCTTTACAAAACTATAATTTACATTATTGTCATACTTTACGCCTGAAGACGAGCTATTAACTTTGAAGAAACTTACATTTTACTAATTTGACTTTGAATTAATTGAATAGTTTGTGATTAAAATTAAGGACAAAAACGATGAACTAAATACAAAGCAATAATACTTTTTCACGGCGAATTGCATTTTATTAATGAATTGATCAGAGAATATATTTTATTTATATCGATATGCTTTTTCGCTCATCTTTCCTATTTTATCACTATTTTGTCATTTTGCATCTTACAAGGAATTCCTGCTTTCTGTTTCAGAGCGGCACCAAGAATCCAACAGTGAAACTATTTTGCGTCGATCTCGACATGGTGGTGCAGGGTAATGTAACCTTGGTGGAGATTGAACATCCACTTATCTTGTCCACCTCCGAGAGGATTCTGTCGGCGGTGGACTTCCCTACGGACAATCTCGTGTTCGCGACTTGGATGAATCGGGTGCAGAATAGGGCGTACTTCCAACTCTGCGACGTCGACAACCTTCTGCCAAATTGCACGACAGTAGGTACTTCCTTATCCTCGCGCGTGAAGTAATCTTCCGGTTCTCATTTGATAGTACGCTTTGCAGAGACTCCGTTTTGCTCTCGTGGATCTTAATTTAGGCGCTCTTCCTTTAGTTGAGCAATAGTGTTTTAATTAGTACGCGCTCGCCAGCGACTCGGCTAATTCGCAATTCCGCGCGAGTCTTTCGCGACTGTTTCTTACTGAAACTTACGTACTTGCTACAAATTTTAAGTATCGATAAAGACTCCGCATAGCAGAGTTTTACAATCAAATTAATTTCGTACCAAAAGCGCGAAATTCGCGTCGCATTGTGAAAGACGATTTTCCCGGCGAAGTATTTTCCACGTTAAAATTAGTTGGCGTATTGGAAAACGTCCGCAGAAAAAAACGAGGGTGGCATTAAGAAGCTGTAGTTACAATTTTTAACTTTTTGTGCATTTTTTTTACATTCTCGAAGAAAAAAGTAAACAGGCTTCTCTTTGCCGGATTACTTTATTAACTTTATGTTAAAAACTTTGGTTTATGAATGTTCGCAAGAAGTACAAAGTTGATTTAATTCTACGCGAATGTACGTGAATGTGGATATAATATTGTGACATTGGTGTAAGAGCGGGAACATTTTAACAGCGCGTCTTTTATGAATAAAGACACGACTTAATTAAGTCGACAGAAAGTAATTTACTGATGGAAGAACGTCTAATTGTCCCTAGGCGCTCTCATATATCGAGACAAATGGCTGGGTAGAACAGTTCGAAGCGCCTACGTTCAGCGAGGACGGCACGTCCTTCCTCCTGATATTGCCGCAGAAACAGAAGGACGGTAGCAATTGGCGACACGTTGTGCTGGTTACGAATGCAACCAGCGGCAAATCCACCATCACTGCCCTCACATCTGGCTATTTCGTCGTGACGGAGATAGTTTCGTGGGATCAGGAGGATTCGTACTTGTGAGTACAAACACAAGCTATTAATTCGTGCGTTTCTAACTAAAGCGTCTTATTAATTTCAAATGTTTGAAAAATGTTTTAACAATTTTTTTAAGATATTTAGAATCTTGAATTTTACATTTATCGACAACATGTGCATTGTATTTATATTTTATTTTATTTTATTTTTATTTTGAATTTATATCGCAATTTTAGCAGAATATCGCTATTTCAATTTGTATAAAATTTTGTATAAAAAATTTTAAAATACTGCACTATTTTTGGTGCAAGAGTAATTTAAAAATTAATATGCGAATCAAGGAAATATTACAAGAAATTGTTAATGGAATCGAAATCTATATAGGCGATATAATTATTCGTGGCTTTGATAGAAAAGTTCTTGCAAGAAGCCAAATCAGTTCAATTACTTAAAACTTCGATAATCTACTATTAGCGATTGAACCAAATAGATTACGTTTGCACTTCTTCGGAAACTTCCCAACAATCTCAGCTTCTTTTCAGTAACTGCGAATTAAGACCGCCAAAGCTCGATAAATTTGCTACCGATGCGTAATTTAATAGAATAAAGATAATCGAATTAGCATGAACGAATGACTTATCCGTTGTAAAACAATTTTAATGGCAAAATTATAATCATACATTTGCGTCAAAAAGAAAACTCGTTGAACGTCTTAGCGTTTACATTAGCATTTAATTTATTTTGAAAGCGTGCATCCATGACATTTCGGCAAACTTTTCCCGAAAAATGTGTTTTTGGTTTCGATACTTTCGATAGAGAACTGCTCTCGCGTGCGTGTGCGTAGTCCGTAACACGAGTCTTTGAGCATGAGATACGTGCTCTCCTTCCGGGCATTTATCCCGACCGATGACGTTCAGAAAGATAGCGGCGCGCGAAATGGCTCGGAAGTAATTTGCGAAGTGAAAGCAGAACTCCACGACGATGGCGCAGAGCTGGAAAGTTGCGTGATGTCGTGGCGGTTGCAGAACGGGGGAGTGAGAGGGAACGTAGGTGCGTCCTTTCGGTAGGTTGACCCCGCCTCGCAAGAAGCGGCTGACTTAATTGCGCGTTCATAAATTAAACGAGATCTTCGTCGAAGGAGCGAAGCGAGCGCTCGCCCGCCGCACCGGTCGCTCGCCGACGTCGCACGAATTCGCTTTTTCCGCGTCTCGGAATCCTCGTCGGTCGATTAACGCTCGATGGAAGTGGCCGACGGGAATCGAATTACCGGCGGATCACGCGATCAGAAGTTGGGACGTCGTTGTCGACGACGACAACGGCAACGACTTCCTGCCGCGCCGTTTCTTCAAGATCCTCCCCCCGGAAAGACCATCGGAAGATCCACTTCATCTCACGGAAAAATTGCTTTCATCCAGCGTTAATGACATCGTCTAAAGTTTCATCGCGTTTCACGTTGACTGGATAAAAATTAAACTAATTTGCGATCGAAGTGAACAAAATATTCAGAACAAGCTCTAATGACGACAAATCTTCCATTCAATCTTCTAATTTTCCGCAAACATTTTCAATTTCTCTCATGATTATAATAAAAATTATTTGAATTATAAAGCTAACTAATTATATCAAGAAAAATGTGGTTACGTAAGATTATTGGTAAAAATGAAAATACGCAAATGATTACATTAAAAAGGACTCAGTTGTGTAAAGAAATATCACTACGGTTACCACAAATGGAAATTTAGATATCTTGATGATATGCCGACAATTTCTGCCACGTTCCAAAACTGCGGCATGCCGAAACAATGTCGCCACGTTCCAACCTCGATTAACGATAAGAGTCGCGTCCGCTTCCAGTTCCGCCATTACGCGCACATGTTCAATGAATTTAACCAAGTTATTTCGTTGCACACATCGTTCGTGTAAGAAAGTGGGTATCAACGAACGTGAACTGTATTCGGGTAACACGCATGAATTAATCATTAGGACGGTGTAAACAGCGGAGCGGCGTTCAGGAGTTATTCAGTGGCGTTGCGTTTGCGGCTTGTGGACGACGTAACGCGTAATCAATGCGCGGAATCCGCAATACGATCACATTAACATCTGCAGGAATGCATCGATATGGTATGTTCACATCATCGTATTAGTATCTTGAGATTCGCACAATCAATATCATTCCACAATCTGATTCGATTCCATCGGATACCAGACTCGACGGGAAGGAGGAGGAAAGGACTGTTCAGAGTGCAATCGGCGTTTAGAAAAATAGGAATCGGTTAAACGACGTAATGATAGGATTTCCGAAGTTGCGTTCTTTAAATCACCGAATGCTTTTGCTGCTTCAGCTTTGGTCGAAAAACTTTTTGCAGTTTTATGCGCCGCAGTTATCAAACCACTCTTTTCGTAAGCACGTAAAAGTTTTCATGGCTTAGGAAAGAACGTGCGAGAATCGCGCTCGATATTGGAAAGTTGAGTAATTACGGCGACACACATTTTAACCGTCCGGATCGTCGATGATATCGAAGATCGCGTTGCGAGACACGTGTCGCGAGGCATTAGAAGCGTTTAATGCGCTAGAATTGTTGTCGCACATCTTGAGCTCTGCACTTGAATTAGTTTGCACGTCGCACGCGGACGCGGCCCATCTACCAGCTCCCGCGAACGATTCGTGGACAGCCCGGCACCGCAAGAACCGCTCATGCATCGGGAAATGTTCGTGAGCTGTTTCCGAAAACTCCGCCGGCGGTGGAGCCAAATGGAAACGTCACTGTACCCCGGAGATAAACACCGCGCGCGGTTACGCCCGTACTATTAACCGCCCTTATTATTCTAGTCGTCGCGTCGCGTACTCGTTAACCCTGAACCCGGCGATGTATCCCGCAGGATACATCTCTCTCTTTCTCACCGCACAGATTTGCGGCTTCTTCCTCGCGGCTTAAGTGGCTTTTTCTGTTCTCAATCTGTATAAATTACATCGTCGTGTTTTTGGTCACTTTATTGTCACACAAGCATCCATCATTCAGTAAATAGTGTGCTCAGGAGAGAAATTACTATTATGAAAAAAAGGATAGAAGGGGGGAGAGTAATGTAGCGAATTTAACAGTGCCGGCGATATTTAAGATAAGATATCTGAGTCGGATTAAATTAAAACTTTTCTTTAACGTCTCTAGCGTTCGTCTCTTTTTAATTCGTAGTAGCGAAATATCGATAAGGCTTACATTTCATTTTAATTTAATTATGAAATAACAACCGCAATGCTTAATGCGCGTTCCGTGAAACTGGCCGCATATATCGGGCGAAAGCGTGTTCCGAGAAACAAGCACTGCCTTTTGCATTCGTCCGTATATCCAATTTATTCCAGCTAAAATTGTAATAGGCTAAAGCTCATGCGGCGATGTTCTCTTGTTGCCGGGCGAGGCTTTCACTCTCGGTATTTCAATTTCAACTTTTATAAAGTTCTTAACACCCTCACTATGCAAAGGCGCGGCTGCTTCCGTCCGACTTGCGCTGTTCGAGATTTAGAATAAACTGCTCAAAAGTTCGCGGCATTGTTTCCTTCGACGGATTGGACGCCTTCTCTACGAGCCATCCCGACGATTCCGCAGCGAGGAAGAACATTCCGATTTAATCCAGGAACGCTAATCACCTCCGTTTGAGCTTTTCCCCCTGGCCAAAAGTTTTCGGTGTTATCATCCGAAAGGAATTACGTCACGCAGCTGTCACATCTTAATCTTGCCCAGCTTAAGTTATGTACGACGAAAATCGATAAAGCACGGTAAAGTAACTTATTAATCCCAAGTTAAACCATTAACAACTTACCTTGTGTCTACACCTCTAAATACTGTACTTTTTAAAGACCCGAAAACAGCAGTGATGAGAAACAAAGATATTAATACGCATTATTCTATCTGAATTTTCAATTGGAAAACTTAGCATTAAAATAGAATGTGGAATTTTCTATTTTAGTGGAATGTAGTTTGAAATTTAATCACGAGAATATTTAACGTATAAAATGAAGAAAATTTACAAAAAGTAGTGTCGTGAAATTTTCTTTTTTAATACACTAACAAGTTACATTATTCTATCTGAATTTTTAATTAGAAACTAATTTCTTTGCACTAAAATGGAGTGTAAAATTTTTCAAGTGCAACAAGGTTCTAACTGAAAAAACTTCTCACAAATTTATTTTCAAATGGCAAGAAGATAACAAAACTTTATCCTTTGTTCAATTCTGAGGGAGTTTTATTTTCACAGAATGCAGTCAGAGGTTTAATGATGAGAACATTTAATGCAGAAAAATCGAGGAAATATAAAAAAAAAGCAGAGTATCATCAAATCTTCGTTCTTAATGCTGACAAGTAAGATTGCTGAGTGATCGCGCAGTGAATCAGCAATATGCGCGCTTCCCTTTGACGTAACCGAGCTGTCCGCGATAAGACGTGATCGTTCAACCCGCTTTCACACACGATGATATTCAATCAAAGCGTTTTTTAAGCCAATTTAAACTATTATCGATGAAATGTCGCCGCTCGCTTGAACGGACGGTAAGAAATCACAAACGCGACGGAGCACAAAAGGCGTCGCGACCCTTCGTATCTTCGAGACTGTCGAGCGGACCGACAAATATTATCGAAGCTCTCGAAGGAAACTCCCCGGTTATTTCGCGTCGAGCGTTTCTGGGCCGCGCTATGTGTCCAATTGCCAGTTGTATATAACGTAAACGAGCGATCGTTACGTATATGGATATACGCGGGGGCCACCCGGTGGATAATGGTTTCATGAAAGAATCCGCGAAACGTCCATCAGTTTGCGGAAACACGGTAGTACGATGGTGGATAACCGAGTTGCCCGCGATCGTCGATACTATCAGAAGCAATAACGATACTCGCTACTTCATCGAAAGAATTTCTGATATCCGTCTATAACATAGATCGTTCTGACAATACCGCGGCAACGTTAGCCGCGCACTTTCGTTAAAGTCTTGGGAACGCAGCCAGAAGTTCAATTTTAGAAATTAATAGCGAGGATAATTTAAAGTAAACTT